GCAGGGAGCCCGATGCGGGACTCGATCCCGGGACTCCAGGATCATGACCTGAGCCGAAGGCAGTCGCTTAACCAACTGAGCCACCCAGGCGCCCTATATTTTTTTTAAAGGAATGACGTTTTTCTTAATGGTCAGAAGTTACTTCAGTTTTGTCTTCATTAATTTGCCGAGAAGAGAGAGATCTGTTAGATCAGGGACTGAAGGTATTTTATGTGAGGTGGAGTCCATTAGGTTTTCTTAATTGTTTTTGTTAACTGTAATCCATTCTTGATTGTTTCTGTCCTGTAGTTTTGCCTCCATTCCTACAAAGGCTTTCATAGTCGAAGCTGGCAAATTTCATCAAGATATTTGTAAAGTTAATATTATGACTAGAAAAGTTGGGGAGGAAGCCATACAAACTTTACTAAGAATAAACTGTTGATTGTTGCTAGGTTATCATAAAGTACCCTTCAGTTGTTAGTGTTTACTGCCTCGGTCCATCAAGAATTATGCAAGTCTTGAGAGAGACATTATTTCCGTGAGAATAGCCACCACGAAGAAGATAAAACTTAACCAGTGAAATCTTTTTTAGTTAACTAAAGAAAAAACTGGTCCTCTGGCTGAGGACATAAGCATTCTTCTTTTTGTTTATTTTCCATTTTTTAGTCATCATTATGCTTTTTTCCATTATGCTGTTTCCTTCTGTGTTGTGGCAGACTCAAATGCCTTTTAGCTTTTTCCCTTTTAAAGTACACCACCCATGCATTGTTTGTATAACACAATGCAGAGGAAACTTATTTGTGTGAGACATTTAGTTATGTATTCTGTTACTGTAACTTACATCCCTGGGGGAGCATTAATATGGCAGCATTTTAAATAATGTTATTAGAACTCTATTATTAATAGCAAACAAAAGCCTTGAAGATTGATAGGTGACTGTTGTGGACGTTTCTGACTATGTTTGAAATGAAATTTTAAACAAATATACTTTTAAACTTTAAAGGATATTTTAGGTTATGCCTCTTTATTGCATTTTAGAACTAGATTTCTGAAAATAAAATATATTAATTTGCTTATACATATTAGTAAGAATGATTAAGAATGATTAATAATAAAACTCAGTTTGGAAGAAGGTTAAAAAATCAGAAAATTGCAGTTATAAATGGCAAAACTGATTATAATAAAAAATGCAATTGTTCAGCCTAATGTCACCTCTGATTGTTACTGCATTTACCTGTTTCATTAAAGCATAATCACTTGAATTTCACAATGTCCTAGGTGAGGATTAACACTACTGAAAGTTTGTATAATTAAACACTCATGATTACGGAGTTAGTGTGTTCAGACAGAAGCACATCTGTAATTTCAGAGAAGGGAAAAATAATTGTAGCTTTGATTCCCTAACAATCAAAGGTAAGGTCTTTTTTGTGTTAGAACTTGACTATTAGAAGATTTTCATAGGTAAGAATATAGAAAATTCTCTCTTTAGTTGCAGTGGGGGAAACATTTACAAAGAGAGACCATATAAAAAGGGGAGTGGGGAGAGCATGGATACCAGTATTACTGAAGAGTTGCGTGGAGTTCCTGTGGGTCACTGGGTTGGCGCCATGTTGTAAAAAGGCAAACAGATGTAAATTTGATATGCTTGGGTTTTGAGCCAAGGAGTGTCATGAGGAAAGTGGTGTTCTCTAACAAGCCCAGCTGTATGAAGTGTGGCTAGTACTTGACGGGAGATACAGGCCCATAATTGAAGTCTTAGCCTTGATGAAAGGCCTTGACAGTGGGAATAGAAAAGAGAGATACGTAAGTGAAATTTTAAAGGAAGGTTTGACAGGACATAGTGGCAGTGGATATGTGATGGAGGGTAGGGTCAAATTTCATAATGCCTTTCTTCTTTAAACCAACTTGGACTAAAATAAATAAAATCCCACAAGTAGGAAAACAGATTTCCTTTACCCTCACTTCTAATCCTACTTCTTTTGTCCATGTAAATTAGATAACACACTGAGGGAGTAGTGTGCCTCTCTGTTATTTATTTTTATATCCCCCATGAGATCAGCTTTTATTGAACTCCCTTCCTTCTTATGGCTTTGTTATGCTTCTGAGAAGGAAGGCTTAAAGACTTGGCACTCACGGAGTTTGGTAACTGAACATTGATTGCTTAATAGAACAAGACTTTTAAAAACAAAGCAGAAAAAATTGAGCAATACTTTTTCAATCGATAGTATTTATAATTTTCATGTTATCAATGTAACTTCTTAGAAAAAAGTTCATTTTAAAAAACTGGTTAAGTGAAATAATATTTCCTTCATGTTGTTTTTGTGAAGAAATTCAACTGAACAATGAGAATAATTGTAATTGTGTGTCCAGGGTATTGAGAATATTGAATTGTGTGTGTCTCCAGATGATTTCAAAGCCAGTTTTTTTTTTCCAGGATTGCAGCATTCCAGAGATAGAACTTTGCCCACAGTCTGACCCAGCGTGTTGTCCTATCCATATACAGCGAGCAGTCCCCAATTTGGAAGAGCTGAATATCCCCAAATCTGTGTCCTTCACTGTGAAGTCAGGAGTGTATGTATCAGTTTCTCATTACTACAGTGATTGATGGCCACCAAATTTAACTTTTTACTTCAAATTTCAGTGGGTGACATACTTAGTTAATTTTATTTATGCCCCTGGATACTCGAGATAGACCATTGCAGGGATTAAAACAGATTCTGTCTTCCTTTGGATCCAATTAAGTCTTTGATGTAGGACTCACAGGAGCAGATAGAGATCCTCAGACATAGTTCTTGATAGATGCATTCATCATGTTTTCATCCACCAAATTTTGGGACTGAGAAATAAAAGCATGTCCCTGGCCTAAATATCTGGAGCTTGAACTAATTCAAGAGTGTCTCGGCGCCGGTAGTTACTGAGTGCCTCAACAGTGCTGGACACGTGTTGCTTTTTTTGTTTATTGTATTCCTGCGAGGTAGGTAGAGCGACTCATTTTATAAATGAGGAATTATATGATTTGTTTCAGGCTACCAGCTTGTAAGCATGGGTCTGATACAAGCCTTTCTGATTGCAAAGGTATCTTTTGGACTATGGGTGTGACTGAGCTGAGTCTTAATTTAGTTCCAGATTAGCTTGAATCACAAATCTGTGATGCCTTTGCAACATGGATTCCTTTTCTGTCTTTCACTCTTTTTTATCTGCTCTGATGATCGTTGGCATAGATATTTGGGGGGGTCACTGTAGGACATCTTTCTTCGTCTCTCCCAACCACAGATTACAACTGTGGGCAGACCCAGTAATTGATCCTGTCCATGAGCTATGTCTGTAATTACCAAGTTTAGTTACAAGGTAGGTGGGTCTTTTGGGAATCTCATTTCAGATACTGTTTCTGCAGCAGCCAATTGAACTGATTATTGATTCTAAAAATGTGGGTCAAACATGTAAAATGCCTTGATTGGGTGGAAAAAAAAAAAGATGTAAAATGCCTTGTGGAATCCCACCTCTGATTGCCCCATTATAAAAGAAAAAAAAATATATATATATATATACATATATATAGTGGAATTTTTTTTCCTTCCAGTTATATTGTGCTTGAATCAAAGGTGTCACACCTCCTAAATATTAGAAAATTCTAAGAAAAGTAATACATACTGCTTGGAGTACATATAATAGACTTACAGTGTTTGAATATGAGTACTGAGTAACGCATTAACTCTTGTTATACGCTGTCTAGTGAAGTCATTTCAAATGTGTTTTACTGGTTGTAATTCTGCTTTTTTTGTTTTGGTTTTTTGGGTTTTGTTTGTTTGATAGCCCTTTTTACTTTTAACTGTTACAAGACCAGACTAAAGTGTTCCTATTATATTTTAACAAACCATTCATTTCTTATTTAGTTGGCTTGCCTACCCGGATATTAATTTTAAGGGGCAAGCTACAGTTCTGGAGGAAGACCATGGGCTCTTTGAGATTTCTGCCACAGAAATGAAATCATTGCATCCACTTCAAATGGTAAGCAAATTTAAAAACTGGCATTTTCCCATGAATCTAAAATAACCATGGTGGGATTGCTTATGCATCTCTATCCTGAGAAAAGACTATGTGTACTATTGGATCAGCAATCTATACATGATTTTTCTGTACCTCTATATCATAGAGAATATCTGTGTGAAAACATTTTAATGTTTTCTAGAACACAAATGCCTGAATTTACTTTGTGCTAAGTTTATTACAGTGCATGCAGTTTCCTTAGAAGTACTGTTCTGTGAAAATTTTGAATACAGTTCTGAATTTTTTTTGATGCTTATTAGAAAACCACTTTTTTAATTATGATTTTCCATCACAGTAATGAATGATAAGCTCAGCATTAATAATAAATGGACAGTTCTGTGAGTGGTTGCTTTCTTAAAGATAAGTGCATACAGTATTTTTGCTGCAAACATTTTTTATTTGAGGGCAAACTCTTCAAATAAATGTTAGCTATGTGGCAAACTGTTTTTGGTTGTTCTGTGCCTTTAAAAAATAAAAACCAGGAAAAACTAAGAAATTTTAAGAAATACCACAGTGTGGAGTAGCATTAAAAACAGGAAATTCTGGAATTAGGTTGTGTGGGGAAGGGGTTACCTTTTATGCTCTACAACCTTGAGGTCACAAAGATAGTTAAGTATGATAAAAAGTGTTATTGGAACTTGGAAGGGGACGCACTCTAATTTAGAAAGCCTGAGCAGTTGTCCGGAGGAAATGAAGGGTCAGTGGTTTGGAAATCTACCCTGCCAAATGAGATGTTTTAAATCTAGCAACTCCACTTTGTTTCTTGGGACACTCTGCAGGGGGGGGATTAAATCTTTACTCACTCATGTGTGCTTAAGGACTAAAAAGTTCAGTTTCCTTCCTTGTAATGGTTTTAATCTGGAAAGTGTATTTTAAAGATTTCTTGCCCCACCTACATCGATGAGCCGTCCGACTTGTTTTTGACTATTGTAGGATTCTGTACTTCAATTTTAAAATTTACCACAACTTAAAGTTGGCTGGTATATAACCTTTAACTAATCTTTTTTTTTTTTTGTATAACCTACATATGTCACTTAGTTACTTTCAAATATTCCAAATGTTTCTGTATCTAATATTAAAATTTCTTATCTTAAGGGTGGACTGAAAGTGGAAATGCCTATGAACTTAAAGGTAAGTCTTAAAAATGGTCTTTTATAGCAGGCTAAAAAGCTTGAGTGTTAATCTTTAAGTATTTTGAACTATTAAAGTAAAAAATTAGCAGAATACATGCTAATAATATCTAGCTAGTGGATGTTGGAGAGAAGTGACTGCACGAAATGGCCACTGAGGACTCATGCTGTAAGGGCGAGTTGGGTCAGTGTGCAAGGATGGAAGTCTTGCTGACAACCCAGTCAAACACGATAAGCACCTACTGCAGGATGGAAAGGTGATAGGTTTGATTTTTGATTTTTGGGGGAGGGGGCGGTTGAGGTGGCACCTTGACATTCTAGTGGAGGTATCAGACGTTTGGGAATAATGCTCACAAAGGAGATGAAGGATGATCAGAAGAAGGGGTAGGTAGCTCCTGTCAGAGAGATGGCAATTTGTAAGTATAAGTATCTGAAGGGAACAGTAGAGGGAGTGAAAACTGGAGCAGTAGTGGCACCAGGATTAAGCACATTTTGGGAAAGAAAAGGAAATGGAATTATAAAATGTGTGTGAAAAGAGATGGGAAGAAAACCAGTGCAGTGATTAAAGATGCAAACTGACCTCTGCTTGACGAGGTTACAGCACTTCCAGAGGCAGGCATGGGAAGGATTCATCCGTCCTTCTCCTGTCCTGCAAAACAAGACACAACTCCTCCAACCCTCCCATTTCTGGGGGCTTCCTCATTGATCGAATTGACCACAATGCTCTTAATCACATAGGTGGAATCTTTTAAAACTTGGTATCTGAGTGTATGTAATACATCTTGGCTCCTTGTTGGAGTTGTATATACCCAAGTTTAAACAAAGACTTACTGCCTGTATTCCACTTGTAGAGATACTGTTTTGGTCTGGGGTATGGTCAGAAGTCTTCAAAGCTCCCCACGTGATTCTGATAACACGCAGCCAAGGTTTTCGAACCAGTGACCTGAAAGATGCAGAATTAGCTCTGACACTTTCTGAGTGACTCCTGTCTCAGTCTCTTCAGGTGTGACAGGCTCGGTTTTCCTTGGACGTTTGCAGTTTGACAGGTTGTAGCGGTATATGAATGAGATAGCTATCATAGATGGTCAGATCAAGTTTCTAGACGTTAGTGATGGCTTACTCGTCAAAGAATTACTGCTTATTAGTCTGATTAGGTTCAGCATATGTAGAAAGTATTAAATAAAACTTCACTTCAAATACAGCACCCTGTGAAAATTTAGTATGTGGAAAACAGGAGCAGTACTATGTATTTTTTTCAGTTGTATAATGTTACCAACTTTTGGAGACAGGGAAGCTATAGCTTGTTCAGTGTGTTTAAGCATGGGGCCTTTGTTCGCCGGTGTACACCACGTATGCCATCAGCCACAGATAGGAGCGGGGGTAGAGTGTGGATAGATGAGTGCCGTTACCACCATTTCTACATACTAAGGGCCGGCAGGTCATACTTGGGAAGTAAAGAGCACCAAAAGGGTGGAAGAGGCATACTTGTGCCAATCCAAATTTGAAGTAAATGAAATGCTAGGAATGGATTTCCCACTATACTTACCCCCACCCATATGAATCCAGTATCCAAAAAAAAAACCATAATTTTTTCAATCACTTCTTCTTATTAGAAAGTTTTGAATTCAGATTCGGGAATTTGCGTATCTGTTTCTTATCAGTGAATAGCAACTGCCATAGAAGCAGTTAGTGTTATAAGAAGCAGCTGTGTTTTCTCAATTCAGTAGATAATTTATTATTGTGCCCTAGAACCTCTATAGAGAGTTTTTATTTCTAAGAGGGGAAATTCAGGTAATTATAAGGCAGGTCTGTATTAAATTCCAAACAGAGAGCTAAACTTAGCTAATTTAAGAATCCTTTATAAGACAGTTTTTGTCCTGTGAGATGGCCCTAGAATTTGGGTAACCAGAACAATGTATTCATATTTGACTATATTATTAGAGAAATATGCTATTAAGATAGTTTATCTTTATGATAATAACTCACATATTCCTTGTGACTATCAGACAGCATGCTATATTGTAAATAAAAAGGACAGTGGTCCCTGGCCCCTATTCATGTCTTTAGTCTCACTTAAGTAAATGAGTTTTGTGTCTGTGCCAAAAAACGAGCATGTTAAGTAATTTTCTTTCATATCTTTCAGGTTATTATTTATGAAAAACCCCACTTCCATGGACATGCCAAAGAGTTTAGTGAACACATAGATTCTGTCCCTAAGTTTTTAAAAAATAATGGGGATTTTCATGGAATTGGATCAATCCGTGTCATAGGTGGAGTGTGAGTATTATATTTACAATATTTGATTTAATAGTCTATTTTTTGAAGATGACAAAAAATGTGCCAAGCCAAGCAAAAACAATGTGTCTTAATTTAAAAATATTACATCCCTTCTGGAAGATACTGTAAAATAAAAAATATTAGTCACTGATCGCTTTTCTGTGAACTCTTGTCTTAGAGATTTTGAGGTAGGTTAAACGTAGAAAATGGTTTCTCAAACTTAAAACACTAAGTATTCTAAACACAATATAGAAGATAAAAATTACAAAATAAAATTATTTATTCATTTATTTATTTTTACAAATTTTGAACATGAATGAGAGCCCCACTTTTTATTCTCTATCCTGTGGATCTTAGTTGACCTTCTGTGCTGAGGATCTTGGCAGTGAGTCCTTCATTAAAGAAGTAGCCTGGGTTGTGTGTTTCCCAAGTCAAGGATTTTTAACACTGGTTACCTTCTGGCCCTGTACTGTTTTTGAGGAGCCCCCCAACTACCTCTCAGTATAAACCCGATTGTAACCAATCATTGCTACCATCCTGGTCTCAGTCAGCAGTTTCTGGGGCAGGTACCCCAGAAAATCTGTGACTGCATTGGGATGTGCCTTTGTATTTGTATCCTGGCAGATAAAAATCAGAAGAAGCTTTCTTCATAGCTTATTTGCCATTGTCAACCCAGTGCTAGAATTCCTCTAGAAACATTGTTGGTCTCTTTTTTGATATGATAGTTTATTTGGGATATTGGTTCATTTTAACTTAAGTATCGGTGTCTCATTACTTGCAGTAACATCGTAAATCTTGTTCATGCTATTCTAGCAAAAGATGCAGCTAAAATATTTTATTCATAGGCATTAAATGACTGGCCTAAGATCACTCAAGAATCTACATTTAGAGATAAAGACTTTGCAGTTTCTGGCAAAGTGATGGCTACACTAGCCAAAATAGAAATAAAAGAGACTATGCCATGTATTAGATATGTAGGACATATCCAAAATTGGTCTGACATATTGGTAATCATTTAATTCTTTATCTTTCAATTTAAAAAAATTATTAGGCCCTTGAAGAACAAATGTGTTTTGGATAAATTTTTATTGTGTCTTATTTATTTGCAATCTTCTCTAATCTGTGAACACATACCCTTCTTGTTAACCCTGCTAAATATTTTTTCCTTTTCTTCCTTTTGGGATCTGAATGTTTTTCCCATTAACTAGATTGTGATTTGCATTGTTTTCTGAGTTTTTTGTAATTATTTTGTAAAAATTTTAAGAAAATATTATCGCTTGTAATACAACATACACACTTTATTATATGACAACTGTAGGAGAAAAGTATCATATCCCCATTTAAAAGTGAACAGTTGAGGGGCACCTGGGTGGCTCAGTCGGTTAAACATCTGACTCTTGATTTCAGCTCAGGTCATGATCAGGGTCGTGGGATCAAGTACTGCGTCGGGATCCCTGCTCAGCCCAGAGTCTGCTTGTCCCTCTCCCTCTGCTCCCCATCCCCTGGCTCGCATATGCATGGGCACACTTTCTCTCTCTCAAATAAGTAAAACCTAAAAAAAAAATAAGTGAACAATTAACTTCATTTTTTTACTACTTCTACCATTTTTCACTTTTGTTAACTGTTTATCTACAGGTAGTAGGAACTCATCTCTGTCCCATCTTGAGAAATCTAGGGAAAGTGAGGTTGACGTTTCCTCATTTTTCTCAGATAACATCTGTTTTTAAATATCCCAGATGTATATATAAATTGGTTCTTAGACAAAACTTAATCTATTAAAAAGAGCTGAGCAGATTTTTGAACTGTTGTCATGTAATAATTTATTAATCTGTCTTTAATATTAAGGTCTTCTATATATTTTATTCTTTTTCCCATTCAGGCTTTTTAAAGGCATGTTCTGAGTAGCCACATCTATATAAATGAAAGCCACATTTAGAATTTGGAAGTTTTCTTGTCCAATTCATCTTCACATAATAGTTTAAGAATAAAATAATGTTAGTCTTTTTACATATTACAAATCCACTAAGATGTATAAAGTATTTATTCCAACTCATGTGGACCCCCTCTTCCCGTGTCATATACACACCTACGTGGTAAAGGCAAGGAGGGGTTCATGATTGCTGAGTGGCTACTGTTAATTTTGTACCCTGTGGAAACAAGTTTTGGAGTAGTTTTTTTTATTTTCTCAAAACAATAGTAGTCAGCCCTACCCAGCTTCATTTGTCAAGCCCCAGAATTCAGAAGTCCCCAACCCAGGAGCTCAAAATAGTCATCCTAGAACCTCCCCCATTGGAGGGGGTCCCATTCTAACAACACAGTGCCTTAAAAGGCAGATTGAAGCGGGTCAGCATGTGTTATGAACCTTCTGTGCCCACATTACATTCATTAGCTACTGTGAATCATTCCATTAAAAATAAGTTTCATAGAGAAGCTTAATGACTAATGGTGTTTATCAGTGTGTTGTACTGATAGTTTTCGATTAGAAGTCAAGAAACCTGTGTCCCAAGGGGCTCCTGGGTGGCTCAGTTAAGTGTCCAACTCTTGATCTCAGCTCAGGTCTTGATCTCATGGTCACTTGAGTTCAAGCCCTGAATTGGGCTCCATGCTGGGTGTGGACCCTACTTTAAAAAGAAAAAAAAAAGAACACCTGTGTCCCTGGAAAGTACTCTGCCACAGTGCTTCCTTTTGCCATTATCACCACTGAGGAAATGGTGGGAGCAACACTGCCCACTTGTAAACAATTACAGAAGTATTCTTATGTGTAGGCCACCAGGGCTAACGCCAGCCCATTTGCATTTCTCTTTGCTAAACCCACCAGTAATATGTCTTAGATCTGAAACCCAGTGAGAGGTTCCTTTGATTTAAAACCTAAATAAATGCTAAATATAGTAATCAGATTCTGTGATTCCAGAAGGGCTTTGTCAGTAAAATAAGAATAATTATCTTTGAATCTCAAAATGGGTTTATAACTTTTCTTATTGGCTATTTGTGCTTTCCATTATTTTTTACTTGGCAGACTGTCCTTTGACCACGTTGAGATGTGGTATCAGGTCATACCACAACTATTTAGTGAGCATTGCTCTATTGCAGTCCTGTAACAGTTAACCTTTTGTTGGGAAGAGCCTCCAAATTATAAAAGCTATTGATCCATGAAGCATAAAACATCCGTCTGTCTTTGTAAATGGTAACAAAACAAATGTGTTGCTTTTTTAAAATATGGTGGTATACAACTAGGTGCTTTATCATGATTTTCTCTCTTTTTTTTTAATTAATCTTATTAATGGCTCAATTGGATGTCCTTTGTATTTATAGGTGGGTTGCCTATGAAAAAGAACATTTTAAAGGCCAGCAATTCTTGCTTGAAGAAGGAGATTTTGAAGACAGTAATGCCTGTGGGGCATTAAGTGGCCCCATCTTGTCTTTCCGGTTCTTACAAGCTGTGAGTTAGCATCGTTATTCTTAATTTTCAATTGGTTTTCTACGCATGAAAATCAGACATGAGTTGTGATAGAACATGAGGTTATAAAATGTTTGGAATACCTGAAAGCATTATGCTGAACTGCTTATGTGGTTTTTCTGCTTTTCTTAATGGCTAAGATGATTACAGAATACTTGGGTTAACTTTTCATCCGTCAGTTCCATAAGTATTTGTTGATCGCCTGCTTCGTGAGCTGGATTGTATCAGATGTTGGTGATACAGTGACCAGAGTCTCCATCCTTGCTTTTCAGAGCTGGCAGCCTGTAGGGAAAATAGTACTTTTATAAATGCTTGATAATGTTTGACTATGATTGGATTAGGCACAAAGTACTCACCAGAGAAAGGTCAATTGCTCCCACTTGGAAAAGAGAGGAAAAGATAACAGTTGAACAAAATTTCAGGTTCAAGAGTTGGCCAAATGGAGAGGTTCCAGGACGGACTGAAGGGGAAAGGTGTAGGTGCTGTTTTATCAAGAGATTAACATATGAAAAGGCAAGGATGTGAACCAGTGGTTCTCAGCTGGAGGTGACTTTACCTCACTGCATTTAGCAGTGTCAGGAGACATTTTGGATTGTTGTGACTTGGGCGGAAGGGGGAGGGGAGTTGTGATACTGACATCTAGTGGGTAGAGGCCAGGGATACGGCCAAACCTCCACAACTCACAGGACAGCCTTCTCACAAGATGTCATTAGGTCCAGGGGTGCCTGGATAGTGCAGTTGGTTAAGCGTCCAACTCTTGGTTTCTTTCGGCTCAGGTCATGATCTCAGGGTCATGAGATCGAGCCCCACATCGGGCTCTGCACTGAGCACAGCAGAGTCGGCTTGAGCGTCTGTCTCCTTCTCCCTCTGCTTCTCCTGCTTGTGCGCGCACATGCTGTCTCTCTAAAAATAAATAAATCTTAAAAAATAATGTAATCAGGTCCAAAATGTTAACAGTGCAGAGATTGAGAAACCCTCACATAAGTGAAATTGGTGTGTTTGGGAAATGCAGTTAAGTCAGGATATTAAGCAGAACTTTGGGAAAATGAAACCAAGAGCCAGATAATGAAGGGCCTTTTATGCATATAGAGGAGTTCAGATTTTTTTTCTTGATTTGACCTTGAGCCCGTGATGGATTTTAGGCCTAGTGAGCAAGATTAGATTAGAAGCTTTGGAAGATCTTTTTGGTGACTCTCGAGAAATGGCTCGGGGTGGAGGAGGTAAGTCTGGACATTACAGGACTCCAGGTGGAGGTTGATGAGGTCATTGAGAAGAGGAGATAAATGTTAAGAGAGTTCTGCAGGATATCACTGCTTATCAAATGTTGCTCATTTTCCTGACCAGCGCTAGAGAATTTTTAATGTGTTCAGAGGGACATACTTTCTTAGGATTCAGGATTTACCACTGTAGTCTCTTTCCAGAGTAATCTGTATCCATATAAACTCTATAAACTATCTGGAATATGTTTCCAAAGCCCTCTTCGAAGGAATTGATAAGTGAAGAGTGATTAGGGGGCCCATCCAGACTTAGAGTGAGCACAGGTTGGTTGTGTGCTCTGGCCCTTCAGGTTTTTGTCTGTTGGGGCCCTTCACCTGGTCAGGCAGGAAGGGCCAGAATGGGAGAAGCAGCACAGGGAACAAGGGAGCATTTTTTTTTTTTTTTTGTGAATGATCTTTGTTAGTAAGAAAGCGAGTTGGAAACCAATTCTACCTAAAAGACATAACTTTTAAGGTATTTAGTCCACAGTCCTATTATACAAGGACCACGGATTTTTTCTCTACGTTGCCATTCCTTACTTGACCACTAAAGGCAAGCAAGACAAAACAAGATAAACCCTCATCTTTTATTTTAGGTCTTCCTGACTACATGCATTCAGGGAACTATGGGTCACTCAACAGGTAGAGTTGACATAAGACATCTTTTCCCCATACAGATTCCCCTAGTATCCCTAACCTGGGAAGGAATGAAGCATTACATGTAAGATCTAAGTTGAAATAATATAAAATAAACAAGAGGATAGATAGAAAAACTGCATAATACAATGCAGTTTTCTAATGTCCTGGCTTCATTATGCAGAACACTCTGGATCTACTAAAGTCAAATTCTGGACATGTTCCTTAGGGATAATGTAATCTGTGTCACAGAGTACTTGGAGAAGACAATGGGAAATACGTTTCTAATTCCAAATGAGTCAGGCAGATATATAATGACTTTGAGTTAACTTTTTTTTTTTTTAAAAGGAGAGGTCCAGGAAAATATAGGAGTATTTAGACTCCAGGGATTAAAAAAGGAATTTTTATTTCTTGGCTTCCTCGATAAAACTTTCTTGGTATGCTTATTTTTTCTCTGTTTTATATTAGCTTAACTTTTGGATCTGCTTTTATTAAGATTTTCAGTCTTGGGACCTCTTTTCAGATCTTTGAAACCACGTGGTATGCGATGGGAGATCATTATTTCTTCTAAATTAATGGGTATACCAGATCTCCATTGGTGTCTCATATTACTTTGTCCACCAGAGGGTTATAGCACAAGAGCTCCAGGGCAGATCAGATCTGCTGCAGGGTTTTATGGAATTTAAAAACACCCAAATTACTAATCCTTAAAAAGACGTATCTTTGGTCCTGAAGCATCTGCTCATTGGTTTTTTCTGACATTGGGGAGTTCTGTACCAGAGACTATTCTAAGCTATCTAGATTTTCCCTTGGATATAAGTGCTTTAAAAATAGAAAGCAGAGTACAGATTTGAGATTGTTTCATCATTATTCATTCTTAGGCAACAGAGCTCCACTTAAATCTGTGTGACTTTCAAAATTACTTAATTGTGCCTGATAAAGCAGGGATGCTAGTAACCTGGAAACCTCATTGTGCTTACCGTGGACATGACTCTAAGTGCCTGTTGCAGTCATCTCCTGAACAAGGCACTTAGAAGTTTTGGTTTTGGGTTTTGTAGTTTTTTATATGTTTTATATCACACTTCATACATGTGATCCCTAGAGATTTAGCCCCGGCTGACTAGATTTGGCTTAGAGTTAGAGCCCTGCCCAGCAGGGACACCATATTGATGGTAACTAGTCAACTAGATCAGACACTGTGTATTTGGTAGGTTTGAGTGAAAAATGCAGAGGGAGTGAAAACCAGGAGAATGGCTCAGAAAGGTACTTAGAAAAAGATAGAGGGCAAAAGCTATAAGGCAAGGAAAGCCATGAATAAACAAAAGCAGATGTAAAGAAGAGAGTGATGCCACTTAAGAGGCTCCCCTCGCCCTCGGCCAGGTCTCTGGGAATAGCAGGCAGAGTAGAAAGGATACAAACTCAAGTCACGTGAGTAAATGTGTTTGTGAAATCGTCTGCTGCCAGCTCTTGTACTTGGCGCTGGGTCCTGTGATAGCGGATCCCGCCTTCTCTGCTCACCTCTAGCCTGCACTGTTGCCAAGCAGCCCCCAGCCTGCTTCCCAGCTCACTCTCCCACAACCCACACGGTAGGACTTGTGCAAATCATTGCTCAAGTAAAGTACATCACATCATAACACAAGTTATTTCTTAATGAAAGGGCACAGACACAGCACACCTGCACATGTCCGTATTTATCTCTCTCTGTCTTTGTCCCATTTTACTCCAACACATCGTAATGACCCTTGGCATTTCAGCTTGTCCTCGCTCCCCTATTCCTGCAGCCCTCATGGGGAGTAGAGAACAGTTGTAGGGGCCGAAGAAGTAAAAACAGATGGAGCATTCCAGAGTCACCAGAGTAGGGGAGGGGAGAGGTCCATATAATTTTGTGAGAACTGCTGAAGACCCTCCCATTGCAGTTGGGCCTGATTGGATAGTGGCTGTTGACAGCGGTTCCTGCCCAGGACCCAGACAGGGCCCCCTTCAGCTCATCATCATGTTGGATCCTCACAACCACCTTGAGCTAGTTATGTACTTTCATGTGACAAGAAACAGGCATGTTCAGGTTCTTCAGGTGATGGAAGTTTATGTTGTCGGGACAACCAGGTTTGCTGGTGTGGCACCCAGGCTGTAAACGTATTTCATTAGGAAGGCTTGCCCTGGGGACTTTAAGGCAAATCACTTATGGGCTATTAAAGCCTTGATTGAAGTGATTTATATATTTATATATACATATATTTATATCTGCAAAATAGGTCTGTGTCAAAATAGATATAGATATGTGTGTGCATACATATGTATATGTGTGCATGTATATGCATATATATTATGTGTATATATGTAAAATCAGGCTTTAAGGGAGCTCAATAATGATAAAAACTACAAGTGTTTTGAGAATAAAGTGTTATGTTAATAGAAGGATGGATGGTGACAGTGAGGTAAAAAATTCACCCAGTCCTCATTTTTTTCTTTAAGAACCATGTGAAAGGTAATGAAGGTAACACATATCCTCAGGTTCCAAAGGTTTGCTGTCAAGGAGAAATTAAAAATATAATTATGGGTTATGAATTATAATAAAGATCTCAGGTAAAAATCCTTTTTCATCTTTTATCCTAAAGTCTCAAATGAAATTTGATCCAGTTATATGAACACTTTTTAAATCCTTCGAAGCTGACAAGTAAGTAGTAAATGAGAAAATTATTTTAAGTGTATTTTCCCTCTTCTTATGGAAGCTTTGGTTTTTGTTTTTGACACTGTTTTGCTTGTTCATATAAAATGAATGTTTATCCTAGAAATCTTCTTTTCTTAGATTAAATTTATTTTATATATATATACATATATATATTTAAGATTTTATTAATTTGAGAGAGAGAGCACAAGCAGGGAGAGTGGCAGAGGGAGGGGGAGAAGCAGGCTCTCCACTGAGCAGGGAGCCTGATGTGGGCAGACGCTTAACCAACTGAGCCACCCAGGTGCCCCAAATTTATGATATTTTTAAAGGGGAGCGAAAATTGATGTTGTTGAGACTTACAGAAGTTGATAACATTTTCCATAAGTCTAAAACTTACTTACAAACAACAAAGTAGTAGGGACAGAGGAAGAGATTTTTTTTTGTTGTTTTTTTTTTTTTTTTTAAGATTTTATTTGAGAGAGAGATACAGCACAAGTCAGGGAGGGCAGAGGGAGAGGGAGAAACAGGCTTCCCACTTAGCAGGAAGCCCAAAAAGGGGGCTCCATCCCTGGACTCTGAGATCACAACCTGAGCTGAAGTCAGATGCTTAACCAACTGAGCTACCCAGGCGCCCATGCTGCTTTTTTTAAAAAATAATGTACTCTGTGTTCTCCAATTAAAAAGTCTATTATAAAGAGTTGAAAAAATGTAGGTTAAAATTGTCCAACTTCCCTGGATCCAAAGATAACCACTCTTGGGTTTTTTTCCTAGTAGTCTTCTTTTATGACATGTTGGGTTTTTTGGTTTTTGGTTTTTGGTGGGTTTTTTTGCATGCTTATGACCTTACCAGGTTTATAAGTTTGAGTTTTTGTCCTGTTCTTTCATCTTATCTGACAGTGATTAAGAGCTTAGGGTAGATAAGTAGATAAATTTGGACTCAAATTCAGTCTCTGCCCCTCAGTAGCTGTGTTAACCTCAGACAAATTACTCCCTTTCCTTAGCTGGAAAATAAGAATGATAGTAATATAATCTCATGTGGTAGTTCTTTTGGAAATAGGCACATGAAGCTCCTGGTCAGTAGTATCGAATGTACTGTTAGCTTCTTCTTAATTATATTCCATCAAGGGGTAGGTAAGATGCATAAAGGTTTATGTTTATACATCGTTTGGGCATTTACACTGTTTACAGCTTTTCAGTATTATAAAAAAATGCATCTTTGCATATAAATTGCCCATCATTTAGTTTTAGGAAATTTTTTCTAGTTCTTAAAAAAAGAATTTCAACAGTATCAGAGTTAATATCAGTCTTTTAAAATGTATTTCTAAATTATTTTCTAAAATAGCTATCCAGTTTATATTTCAACCCAGCAATGTTCTCAGACAAAACTGGATTTTTAGATTCTTCTTATTTTAAAAAGTGAAATTGTATCTAATGGTTTTAATTTGAATTTCTTTATTTTTACTGGTGAAATTGGACATTTGCTTACTTGTTTGTAATGCTTATCTTTTTTGTGAATTGTGTCTTTTGCTGACTTATCAACTTGAGTCTTAAATTTTTTCTGGTATTTTTGTTTCAAGTATATTATCTAACTATAAAAATGTTAAAATTTTCCCCTCATTTTATTTTTTTAATCTTTTGTCAAGGAAGTTTCATTTTTTCT